ATATTGAGTTGTGTGAATTGCTTTGAGTGTTGATATTGAATTGGTGGTTGATGAAATACTTTGATAGTATTGTTGTGGATGTGAATTACTTGAATTTTTCATTTCCTCATTATTGTGTGAACGCCCATCTATTTGCATCGGATCGGAATACTGTGATGAGATGTATTGTAATTATGTTGAGGTCATTATCGGCGAGTGTTATTGATGATGTGGTCATTGTCGATGAGTGTTATTGATGTCGAGGTCATTGTTCGTAAGTGTTATTGATGTTGAGGTCATTGTTGGTGAGTGTTATTGATGTCGAGGTCATTATTAGTGAGTGTTATTGATGCCAAGGTCATTGCACGAGTGTAATTGATGTCGAGGTCATTGCGAGCGAATTTTATTGATGTCGAAGTCATTATTGGCGAGTGTTATTGATGATGAGGTCATTGCCAGCGGATACATGGACTGTGGGTGTTCCCGATAAGTCCAGATTGATTTTGTGATGGATAAACTTGATTATTATGACCGATAACTTGATACTTGTGATTGATAAACGTGATACTTGAGATTGATGAACTTGGCTTTGATACTTGTGATTGATGACCTTGACAATTGTGATTTGATGAAATATAACTGGTGGACTGTTATATGAAACCTTGTGAGTTATATATCGTGAATTGTTAGGTTAGGTTGATTTCTGTGCAAGTTGTAGTTGTGGCGGTTCAATTGGGATGGAAGGAGCTCTCTTTTTTTTTTAAAATCTAGTTTTACCTTGTGCTTAATGAATTTCTTGTTGGGTACTATGTTGTTTGGTACTCACTCCTTGCTTCTACACTTGTGTGGGTTCCTGGCCCGGATCTATGTGATTATCCTCCTTCTATCTACTTCCGAGGTTTTATAGTGGATACTTGAGATGTAGCTACTTGTCATCCCGGCAGACCCTCTTGTTCCTTACTTATGTTTCGTTCCATTCGAGAGATAAAGACATTGAGACTTGTATTTATCTTTCAAACTCTATTTATTATACATTAGTGGCTTGTACACATGACAACTAGATTTTGGGGTTGTTTTTAAAAATACCAAGTATTTTCATGCTTATGTTATTATTAGTTTATTCCCACATTTTTCTTTGGTATTGTTGGGTTTTAGGTTGACTTGTCTTGGTGGGATCAGACGAGTTCCATCACGTCTAGTTTTGAATCGTGATAGATATATTTAATTCCATGAAGAAATATTTTTAAGTATCCTAATCTTGATTTACTTAAATTTGATGATGCTTATAAGATAAGAAAGGTGGCTAGTGACCTATTATAAAACTAGAATTCATGTTCGTAGGAATCCTCAATAGGGATGGGAATACCCTTTGGGCTTTATATTTATCAGACACATTCGGTTAAGGCTATTCATTTCGATAAATCTAACCCAAATTATTTTTTTAAAATAAGACTAAGATTTTAGTTATGTATTGTTGATGTCCAGTCCACTGCCGACTCAATGCTTATATTTTATAAGGCATATGACTTAGGTCCCAATTTTAGGGGGCCTCAATTTTTACTAAAAATTAATTATTCATGATAAAAGAATATTTTTTAAAGAAATTATATTATTTCATTTTATTCAAACTCATTTAAATAGAAGAAATAAAATAATTGTTGCTTTGTCTTGTTACATTATACTCTATGATAAGTTAGAGTATACTCGATCAAAAATATGAATCAATAGTCAACTGCAAGCCTATTTGGATTAATTTATTTTAGGTGTTTTTAAGAGAAAAAATTTTCACCATCCAAGAGTACTCAATGACCCGAATCACTTTCGAATGCCTTGAAATCCGAATCAAATATTGAATGCCCCAAAACCCAAATCAAATATTGAATACCCCAAAACCTGAATCAACTATCAAACCAAGTCAACAATTATCATATAAGCTATAAAAAAAAAAGGTAAAATGAAAAAAAAAACGTAGGGCCCATTTGGCCATGTGATATGGTATCACGATATGGAATCACGTTATGGTATCATGATATGGAATCATGAGATGAAATTGAAGGTTTGTTTGGACATGCGATATGAAATTTTTGTGTTAAATATTTTCTCATAAACATAAAAATCTCATAAGTTATAAAACTATTAAAATAGCCCCAATTGTTTATTCAATCTTATCAAATAAATAAAAAATTATAAATCGCATAATAAATTATTACAAAGTTATTTGTTCTCCACTTAACTAATTGTTTCATCTAACTTTAATTTAATAAAAAAAATTGAACATACATTGTAGTGTACTAGTCTTTAATATAATCCTCCCACATAGTACGGACAATTTCCTCACGTTGAACTTGCATTTCTCGATCATGTGACCGAGAAGACGAACCAACATTGTTACTTTGAGCCATTTGTTGGTCAATATCCTCCGCAACTATATCTTCATGTTCATAGACCATAAATATTTCGACACTACTTTGGTATTCTCGCAAATAATTATGTAACACTGCACAAGCTATAACAATTTTCACTTGTGTATCAATATCATAATGGTTCATGCCTTGTTTCAGTATTCTAAATCTATTTTTCCAAGCTCCAAAAGTCCGTTCAATCACATTGCGCAGAGATGAATGCCTATAATTAAATAGTTCTTTGGCATTTTGAGGCTCTCTTTCACTTCCTTGGTAATCTTGCAAAGGATAGCGTAGTCCTTTGTATGGAGCTAAAAATCCTTTTGTGTTTCGGAAACCAACATCAACAACATAATATTTATCTACCAAAAAAACAATTTATAAAGAATTACTAAAAGCATATGTGACGTAAATGAAACAACTTTGTGTAAATAAATAATATTTATTCTAAGGATGTAATTTAAAGTTACCATGTGGCGGAAATGGAAATTGTGACGTTGGTTCAACAAGTACATTCTCAAGTACTTTACTATCATGTGCAGTACGTTCCCAACCAACAACAACAAAGGTAAATCGCATATCAAAATCACAAGCACATAAGACATTTTGTGATGTTCTTCCTTTGCGATTACGATATGCTTGTTGCACCACTTTAGGAGCTCGCCTTCTATATATGTTCCATTAATCGCAACACAATCCTACCAAATAAAAAATACATCAATATTAGTTTAGTGAATATAAAATAAATTGGAAGTATTATAGAATGCACTTCTTAAAAATAATGTTTGTAAGAGTAATAAAAATAGTGCTTCCAAGACAATGCAAAGTCATAAAATAAATATTATCTCTTTAGACAAAGTTGATAGGAAATATGTAACTAAATACTAATAACTTACACATAAAATATAAATGTGAACTTATTAAGGCCATAAAATAAACTTATTAATGTGATTGAAATTTTACCTTAAACCAAGGCCAAAATCGAGTATTATGTCAAATTTTGGAATGTATACCAGTCATATTTTTTGGTTGTATAAATGTTGGTGCCATCTTGCTAATTGCCTCGGCAACTATTTTAACATGCCGGTTAATTGTTTCAAGTGAATGCTGAAAAGTTTTACAATCGTGAGGTGTGAGTTAAAATGACTATATGTTGGTGAGAATAATAAATTTTATGTCGGTGAGAATAATAAATTTTAAAAAGTAATGATATGATTATAAATTTTATTTACATATGAAACAAATGGTTAGTAGATATAAATGTGGGGTTGTTTTAACAAAATATAAACTCATGGATCAATTATTGTATTAAAATATCTCAAATCATGATATAGAATCACCATATAATTCCATATCATGGTTTTTGGAGAATATGGTATCACCTCTCATGATATGGAATCATGAGATGGAATCAGCGTAAAATCGCATGTCCAAAGTTGATTCCATCTCACGATACCATATCGTGATATGGTATCGCATGGCCAAGTAGACGTTTGGCCATGCGATACCATATCACGATATGGTATCGTGAGATGGAATCAGCGTTTGGACATGTTATTTTATGCTGATTTCATCTCATGATTCCATATTATGAGATGTGATTCTATATTCTCCAAAAACTATGATATGAAATTATATGGGAATTCCATATCATGATTTGAGATATTTTAATACAAAAATTGATCCACAAATTTATATTTTGTTAAAACAACCTCACATTTATATCTAATAACCATTTATTTCATATGTAAATAAAATTTATAATCACATCATTACTTTTTAAAATTTATTATTCTCACCGACATAAAATTTATTATTGACCAACAAATGGCTCAAAGTAACAATGTTGGTTCGTCTTCTCGGTCACATGATCGAGAAATGCAAGTTCAACGTGAGGAAATTGTCCGTACTATGTGGGAGGATTATATTAAAGACTAGTACACTACAATTTATGTTCAATTTTTTTTATTAAATTAAAGTTAGATGAAGCAGTTACTTAATTAAGTGGAGAACAAATAGCTTTGTAATAATTTATTATGCGATTTTATAAATTTTTGTTTATTTGATAAGATTGAATAAACAATTGGGGTTATTTTAATAGTTTTACAACTTATGAGATTTTTATGTTTATGAGAAAATATACAACACAAAAATTTCATATCGCATGCCCAAACAAAACTTCAATTTCATCTCATAATTCCATATCATGATTTCATATCACATGGCCAAACGGATCCTTAGAAAACTCAAAATGACCGTAAAGATCGTTACAATATAATTACCATCATTTGAAATTTAAGAAAATGAATTTTCTCATGATCATAATAGAAACTACTAGGATTTTCACCTAAAATCTATCTTTGTATTTAAGGGATAAATAAAGTGAGTTTCGGTAAAAACAAAACCATGTATATCTCCTATACTTGTATTATAGATTAAGTTATAAATAATCAATTGATTTGCTGGCATACTCTTGTCTTCTAGTGGAGTAATAATTTTTCGTTATTTTTTATCTCCCCCGGGTCAACTATATATTTTCTCAAGACAACTTAATAATAAAATAATACAGAAAGCTCTAAATTATTTAGTTGAAAAATCAGTAGAAGTTGAAGCTAGACATCTCTTGTTTATTTCAAGTAGCTAGAACTATATTGTAGTTGCAAAAATTAGAGTTGATAATGATGGGTTTAATCATCCTTATTATTTGGTTTTCTGTAATAATTGGCATACCATTTGGGTGTTTTGGCAGCTATGAGAGAACATTATTATCAGTTCAAAAACAAAAAGCCCTCTTTGTGTTTGGTGATTCTCTCTTTGATCCTGGGAATAACAACTACATCAACACTACTACTCAATTCCAAGCTAATTGGTCGCCTTATGGTGAATCATTCTTCAACCCTCCTACTGGCAGATTTTGTGATGGTCGTATCATTCCTGATTTTATTGGTAAGTTACATCGATCGCTGATCTACTCTTAACAAAGATATCGAGTTTGTATGTATGAGAAATATATGGTAGTAGATACGACATAAATCTTTCTAAGAGCAGCTCTATTAGTTGAGTGATCAAAATTTGAGAAATCAGCTCGATTTTAGTGTTACCCAAAATTTCGATAGAATTGTTTTTTTTTATTATATATATGGTAAAGATAAAAGTACTTGAACAGTTGAAAGTGTTATAAATATGTATGTTTATGAATATTATCATATGGAATATTAAGCTATTTGGTTTTGTTGTGTTTAATTAGCGGAATATGCTGAGCTTCCACTGGTTCCATCTTATTTTGAGATTGGAAAAGACCATTTTGTCCATGGAGTGAATTTTGCATCAGGTGGAGCTGGCTGTCTAGTTGAAACTTTTCGTGGCTTTGTAAGTCATTTTTCTATTTTAATTCTTCCTTGCACCAGATTCTTTGTAAAAAATAATAGAAGAATGAAATTATACTAGTGAAATCAAATCGAGACATGAACATCCATAGTTAGATAAGAAATAAATAAAAGGTCATATTATTATGGCACTGTCTAATAAAGGCGGCTCCATAATCAGTGATTAAAGGATGAATGGGGTCAGCTCAGGTCAGGTCATTGGGCTTATTATGAGCTAGGCCCAGATAGTGACTCTTCAAAAATATCTCTTGACGTTTTAACTCATTGGTAATTCTAAGTCCTAATAATTATTATGTAAGTACCCCAATAATATAACCTAGACTAGAAACCGTTCTAAGTATAAAACTGAGGTGTCACAATTTCTCTAAATTTTGGGTGTGCCTGAAAAATTATATTTAACTGTATCACGTCAAATAAAAATAAACAAAAATATCTTCTTACGTGAGTGAATTTTTAATTACCTTAACAATTTTAACTGTCAACATAGTAGATGTAGTCCTCTTTAAACTAGAAAAAGATATCATCACTAAGAAACTAATTTTATTTTTTTGAAATTGCAGGTTATTGACCTTAAAACACAATTGAAATATTTCAAAAAAGTTACCAAAGATTTGAAGAACAAGTTTGGAAGAAAAAAGTCTAAACAACTCCTCTCCAATGCTGTATACATATTTAGTGCAGGAAATAATGATTACTTCAATTTTGACGCAACGTATCCAAAACATGAATACGCAAACATGGTAATCGGCAATTTGACATCTGTTATCAAGGTACTTACATTTTAATGGCACTGAGGAATTAAAAGTAATAAATTACTATTTTGTTAGTTTTCTAAACAAAACATCTATTTTTATTATATGTTAAATTTGTTTGGAACAGGGAATACACAAGGAAGGAGGGAGAAAATTTGTGATCCTTAGTTTGGGTCCTTTGGGTTGTACACCAGGTTCTAGGGCTCTTAATTTCCAACAAGGAAATAAAAGTGGCAACTGCATACAACAACTCACAACCCTTGCAAAAATACACAATTCAGCTTTGCCTAAAATGCTAAAGCAACTAGAGCAAAAGTTACCTGGATTTAAGTATTCCTTATTTGATTTTTTCAAAGTTGCTACTGAAAGAATTAACAATCCTTCAAAATATGGCAAGTTCCTCTTCCTCTACTCTTCCTTTTGGAGTACAATTATAATTTTGAAGGTACTCTTCTAACATGCATGTATATATTTGCCTAGGCTTTAAAACATCAAAAACAGCTTGTTGTGGGACGGGTCCATTCAGAGGAATCTATAGTTGTGGAGGGAAGAGACAAGTAAAAGAGTACAAGTTATGCAAAAATGTAAAGGATTACCTATTTTTCGACTCTGGTCATCTCACAGAAATGGTATACAAACAAGTTGCTGAATTACTATGGAATGGCACTGTGGATGTTATTCAGCCTTACAACTTGAAGTCATTTTTCCATCTACCAGCATAGCTTATAATTGAATAAACAACAATTCTGTAAACATATATGATGCTTGAGATGTAGAACTTGTCATTGTATGAATGTGAAATTGGAGAATGCTCTGAATTCATGCAAATAAATTCCCTATTGTCTCTCATTCTTCAATTTTTATGGTCATCGATCAGTCATAGACGAGTCCTTTTGATCATAGTCATAGACTAGTCTAGGTTTATTATGCCAATTGCAGAATATATTATAGTAAGTGGTTAATCCACACTTGCTAATGCAAACTTGACCTGTGACACCGAGGCCAAAAATTGACAACAGAGGAATAAATCACAAAAGGTGAGAAGATCTATATAACAAGAGTAAAGTATAAGGTCAAAACACATGTGTTTAGTGGTAGCAATATCATACCAAAATTCAATGACACAAGCATGGGGAAGGGGTGAAAAAGTAACTTGACATGAAAACAACAATTTGATAGCACATCTTTACAAGGGTAGACAAAATCACAGGATACAAGTTCAGCACTTCTGTCCTTATATACCTATGATAGACATTATTTAACCACTGTTCGACATTGAAGAAACATTCAAGTTCTATCTTAGTATCTCGAACAATCCACTCATTCCCCAAGGGTAGCTACACTAGAAACCGGCATTGACGGTTGAGACTCCTTATAAATGGGATTTCAAGGAAAGTTATTATGCTAAAACTTTCCCCTTGTGCTTGCAAAATCAGGCGGAAAAGTTTTTGGCAAAACAATTTTCAAGTTTTAATGGCGTTTGTTTGATAGTGTTTGCATATCAAACAAACAAAACTGTCTTGAGAAAGTTTTTGGCTAAGGACTTCTTCACCCACTCTTCCTTCCAAACACTGGTGCAATTTGGCCCAAAACTAACATAAGCTTCTTACAACAGTTACTTTAAGCAATACTGAGAGCTTCTTTTTAAAAGAAAATCTAATAAAATTGACTGTTTTCCTTTTCTTTTAGACTGATTTATCTTCCAGTACTGCTATAATTCAACAACAAAGTATGCATTAGAGAGTGGCCTTCCTTAAAAATGTTAATAATATGAGCTTCTGAGTAACACGACACAATCACTGCATTCAAATAATGATTAAGGAAGCTTCTCAATGCTCACACACGTCCGAGCTGAGAGAAGATACTCTCCCAAGATAAACACAAGCCTTCATCCACCTTTCTGCCTACAACATTGCAGAAGAGAAGCCCCAAGTCAATTAGCAGCAGTACTATCATATGACAGAAAGCAGATTTGAGTTTTTAGCCAAAAAAGGAACATAGAGTCATGATTGAGATATGCATTCATACAATCAATAGTTTAGGAAAGGAGGCAAAATGTCCAAGATTTTCATGTCTTCCATTTTCAGTTCTAAATGATTTCTAAAGTCTGACAGCAACCAAAAGATGACCTAGGAGTAATATCCTTGCTTGGAGAAACAAAGATGATTTTAGCAAATATACTGAATGTCCAGCTATCATCCCAATGATGTAATTCAAATAAAGTGTTTCATGTTAATTAAGAGGCAGCATTCACTATAACTGATTGTGGAAAGAGAAAACTATAACTACTGGTATCCACACTGTCACTGTGCAGATCTAACTGGTGTATATGATTCTAATAGTTATAATTAAGAGACATGAACTTAGGTGGAAAATGAAAGCAATGAACAACCAGAGATCTATGTGTGGATCGTGGGTAGCATGCGGAGAATTTGATATGACCAGACTTGTATCAGAGGATCTAACATGAATAGAATGAGAGGGTCATGTATGAGTTATGAATTATCAGAATGCATAGAAGATTTGGAGTTAATTTATCCACAATTAACAGAGAGAGAATAATGTTACCCTTATGATTCCTACATTTGGAGAAGTTTTGTAAGATCCTTTCCGCTTTTTCACAAAGGCATCTCTTGGAACATTGGGAATGGAAATAAAACCCAAATCTGGGAAGACAATTGGATAGAGGCCACATACTCGCTTGGACAAGTACTCCAAGGCCCGATCAATAGAAATGAATCCAATATTTTGCTAAATGAGCTCCTCAAAGATAACAATTGGAACTTTTCATGCCTATCCTTTGTCATCCCTAGCGAAGTTAAAAATTCCATAGAAAACACCTACATCCAAATTCTTCCCCATAAAAAGGACACATTTGTTTGGAACAAAAGTAACGACGGACATTTTAACACTAGAAGTGCCTACACCGTGTATCTCCAAACCATCTACGAACCTACTATAAATGAAAATTCCAAAAGCATTTGGATCTGAAAGGCAAATACTATTAACAAGATAAAATTCTTCCTACGGCCTCTCCTCCCACATAAACTGCCAACGTCAATTGCTTTATACAATAGAAATATTACAAGTTCAAAAAATTGTCCCTCATGCCCTAACATAGAAGAAAATATTAACCATATATTTATTGACCGTCCAGATGCTAAATATATATGGGAGAAATATAATATCTCTATTAACTCCCAGGATATCCATGCTAGCATTCAACAATTGTGCACTTCAACGTCCTTTGTTAATATAAACAATCACCATTTGGTGCCCACCACTATTCTAACTCCAATAATTCTTTAGAATATTAGGAAAAACAGAAATAGCAAACTTTTTTAAAAATAAATATTAGTAGAGCTCCTAACACAATATATAATATTTCTTTCCAAGCCATTGAATACTACAACATCGCACAAACAACTCCCAAAACACTCCCTACACACATGGTTCCTGTATCTTGGCCCAGGCCACCTGAAGGAAAATTTAAGCCAAGTATTGATGGTTCCTTTGAACTACAAACCACAAATGGTGGAATTGGAGGAGTCATTAGAGATCAACTAGGCACAGGGATCATGGGTTTTGCTTGCAAAATCAAAGCACGAAATGCCCTTCAAGCAGAAGTACTGGCCTTGCTACATGGACTGAATATAGTAAAAAATAATATTAAACATTTGCCGGTGAAATCTGATTCTCAGGTATTACTTAACACCTTGAATAGTAATAGCCTCATGTACTGACATATCTACACGGATTGCAGGTCACTACTCCTACAGCTGGAAGGATCATCTCTGAAGCTCATCCCGAGGGAGGCTAATACAGTAGCAGACTTATTAGCTAAATATGGAAGGACAATGAAGGATCCACATATGAACTGCAACCAGCTTATGTTTTTGTAGTATCTCCTTCTCTGTAACAAATGCTCTCGAAAGAGATGCGAATGGAACTATATCTCATAGACTAGTTCCACTTTTGTATGGATAAAGCTTCATATTAATTAAATATAATCCTCCCGTTCTTAAGCCAAAAAAAAAACAACAGGGAGAGCATATACTTAGGTTGGATGAATTTCAACAATCATCATAGTTCCTCAAGATTAGACAGATTCCTTTCCACAACACAATGGGATGAAGAGTTTAATTAGATACATCAAGTAGTCCGCACTTTACAGAATCGCTTGATTGCCTCGGACATAATTCATACTACTCTAATGTGGGCAAGGGGTAATTATAGGTTATACTTCAAATTTGAAAACTGGTGATTACATGTTGAAAGTTTTGAAAAGAAGATAAAAGAATGGTGATAGTCCTTTATGGTGGCAGGCAGGCCTGATTTTACTCTAATAAGGAAACTGAATATTTTTAAGCAAAGTTGGTCGAGTGAGAATATCAAAAGGGTGATGCACAAGTTAATTGACAAACACCAGACAACATTCATCACAAGGAGGCTGATCATGGATGCTGGCCCTAATAGCTAATGAGTGCATGGATAACAATGATGCCCCAATCCCAAACAAGTAGGAGTCCGCTATATGAATCCTTACTGACCATATTATTCCATTCAGGCTCATCTCATGCCAATATTATGCAAATGCAATTGAAAAGAATTAGTTCTCTATATTTTCCAAATGCATAAATCTCTAGAAAGCATTGGACATATAATAAAAGTGTGAACATCTAAAACATATTTTTTTTAACTAAAAGGTATTCATCTGTATAGATCTTTTTCATCCCTTGTGTTTTATCTTTTGCTAAGTACGCATTTTTTTATAACCAAGTCTTGAAGCCTGTATGGAGAATTAAACTCCAGAACTTTTCAAATGGCGATGAACATACATGACCGCTGATCCTAAGAAATTGTAGGTCCTTCGTTTAAACTTAGGTCTACCTCGTCCATTGAGACTACATCCTTCCTAGCTCCCAAAAATGAGTGCATGGATATCAGAGTAAAAGAGCAAGACACCTGGAATAATTTGCAAGTTGGATATCAAAACATATGATCATGTGAATTGGGATTTCCTAATCAATGTTTTAAATGATATGTGATTCAGTAGGAAATGCCTTAAATGGATGTTCTTCTGTACCAGCACGGTCAGATATTAAATTTTGATAAATCGCTTTCTTGTGGGCTTCTTTCCTTCACAATAGGCCTTGGGCTAGATAACCCTCTATCTGTTTTTCTGGTTGTACTGATTATGGAAGGATTTGTCATAGTGGATGGATAAGGGGATTTAAAGTGGCAAGCATTGGCTTTAATACTATGAATTACATACTTTTTACATGATGATACACTAGTTTTTTTATGCTAGTGTGGAGCAAATAAGGTATGCAAGGTTGATTTAACTGTATTTGAGGAATTGGCTGGCCTAAAAGTAAATTGAAGGGACAGAATATATGTTCTCTGTGAATCAAATGTCCAATGTTTCAACACTTGCTACCACACAAGAATTTCAAGTTGGTAGCTACTTCACGTAAAAAGAACAAGCCGTATGAAAATTGGCATGGGGTGATAGAAAGATGTGAAAAAAGATTTGCAAGATGGAAAATTGAACATCTCTTGCTGGGTGGAAGGTTGGTCTTGATTAATACTGCACTTAAATCTTGCCAACTTATATGATTGTCAGTATTCCTTTACCAGCTAGTTTAGAGAAAAGATACTAAGAAGAAACTTTCTCTGGCAAAGCAACAAGGCTAGATATTTTCACTCAGTCATATGGAGCTCTATTACTATAGGCCGGAAAAAAGGATTGGCGATCAAGATTCTGAGGCAGCATAAGAACAGCCTTCTGATGAAATGGCTATTGAGATACAATTCAGAAGAACAAGCACTATTCA